TCACCCTGTAGACAGTAATAACGCTATGGTGATCGTTCGAAGCTTTACCCATTGCTAATTGCTAGGCACTTGATGACGGATTATTGCACAAACATAGAACGCAAAATCTTAAGACATCTCTTGTAAAATTTCATACATTTCTCAAAATAACAGCATCTCTTGAGAGTTCACGTTCATAATTTACATTTTATAATTTTTCAATATCAAATTTAAAAATTTTTAAAGTTTTTAATGAAATCTGAGTTCAACGTTGCGTAAATTTATTTTAAATATAAAAAGGTTTGTGTTACGAAAACTTTTTTTTTTTGTATCCACGTACACCGTATTCTCTGTTGTTCCGCGATTTTCGAACACAATTCTGTGTAATCACGTTGCGAAATAACGGGAATTTTTCTAACGCGCGCGCGCGCGAGTCTTCGCATTTCGCTCGCGGTGCTTCGGCGTCGCGTGGAAATTGCGTTCTCGAGTCAAGTGCCGCATTGTTCACCGATCTGGTGCATCCGACACCAGCCTGAACCAGCCGCGCGTGTACTTGCGGAAAGACTATTGACTCCATTGATGTAATTGTACACTCGTGGCCGTGGCACAATTGAAATTCGACCGCCGCCGACTGCTCTTAATTTACGCGCCTCGCATTTTCCGCGTTTCGCTCTTCTTCCCGCGAGATCATTACGAGATTGCGCTTGGATATCGGGCGTACGCATGTGTCGAACCTATGGCGCACGAGATTACTCGAAAATCCCGATAATCTCGATCGATTTAACACCGCACTCGCGTAGATAAACTCGCTGTTGACGACACAATCGTAAATTTTACTTTTACTTTTATTTATTTCGTACTCTCTGATATCTCTGGTCGAAAGAGCATTCCGCGGTAATTCTCGCCTCGCGCGCTAGTACTTTACCAGACCTACTGCGCTTGACATCCGAGAGCGCGTACCCGACTCGATAGCACGTAGATGATGCATATACACCGTGCACGCGTGCCAAGTGTTGTGACGTGCGACGACGAGGTCGAGGCGCCTCTTCTCGGTGTCGTCGACGTTCTCTCGAGTGTCGTCCAGGGTTTGTCGCGCGGGTGTCGCGCGTAACACACGAGCCCTTCACGGATCACCGCGCCCGTTCTCGAGCACCGTTCTCCGCCGCGTCACTTTCGTCTTATGTTCATCTTACCTGACACGTTTCCGACAAGCGAGTCACGTTAGCAGCGCGCATCGTCTCCTTAGACAGCGGCTTGTACCTCGGCGTCGTCACCTCGCACGTACGTTGATTTACGATCACCACAGCGGCCGCTGCGAGCTGAGCTCCGTCCGGGCTGGATCTCTGGAAATTTGGCATGGCTCGCACGTTTTTACGACGACGTTTTTCGTTATTGTAACCCTGTCGGGGCGAACCAAAGGTTACGAACGCGTTACGCGCTCTGGTGTTTTGCGACAGTGTTTCGTAATGATTTACTTTTTGGTACCGATGTGACTTTGAATAACGTCGCGCGCGGCTGCCAACCGCTGGCGGGAAGTTGCGGAAAGTTTTGCATATCTAAGTTCCTGTAAAAATGTCTACGCTCGCTGTAAAAATTTCGTTCCTGAACCTGCTAGTTCCAGAAGAAGCGTTTCATCGCGAAAGAACGACCAACAAGTTACGCGTTCTCCAGGTGTAGCGCCTGGACGCTTCGTAAAACGACAAAACGATTTTCTTGCGCAAGCGATTGCGAAAATTCGAAAGTGGACTAAACCCGAGCACGAGTTACTTGATATTTACCCGAATTCGTTTCCAGTCACAACACAATGTATTCCATCTTGGATTTATTCATTTTCCTTCTTTGAAAGTCCGATAGGAAGTAACTTTTCGCCAAACTCCGCAAGACTCTATAGCCATAAGTTTGATAAATGTGACAACTTTGCATACGCACGATAAACCAATAAAACACATTTATGAAAAATGTTTGTTCAGCGAATGAAAATACGTACCTTCATCAATGCTATACCATTGAAGTACATATTTATTAAAATTTTCATGCAGTAATATTATTTCTAATACATTATCGTGGATATACGAAATATACGTGATGTATAAAGAACACACAATGACCAACAAAAATTTTGCAATTATGCAGAATACAATTGAATGCATGTAGAATGCAATTAATAAAATACATCAACGTATAAAGTGTTAGTTTTTTATAAAATTATATTTCAAAATTTATGTATAATGTATATTTAATTTTTATTACGTATACAAAAAGCGAGAAGAATTATTATTTTTGAAGTTGACTTCAAATTTATGAAAGAATCAAAATTGTAGTTTTCAAAAGAAATAATTTATATATTATTATTTTTGCAATAGCACATACTTAAAAACACAGTATGTCGCAGTTATAATTCATGATTCGTGTATACGTCACTGCAAACGTGTCGTCTGGCTATCTGAATCGATACCTGTATTGGAATAACGAATTCTATCTGAAATCCGATTTATTCGAAAATAATAGCGGCTTACAGTCACCGTGCCTGTACTGACTACCGATTAAAGCCACATGTGAATGGCGTATAGTTTTATTTGTCAGCGCGATGCTGCGAGCCATCACGTATGGAAAAAAAGAAATGAGTTTCTCTCATATGGTATAGATAATCCTCGATCCACATATTCAAATCTTTCGGTATTAACAACTGTAATCACAATTTAAAATAGCCGTGAAATAGCCTAAAACGTGCGAACACATATAGAACATGTATAGAAATATTTTATTAAAATATTTCACTATGTAAGGAAAACACTGAACAATAGACCGATTTTTTAAAATATTTCTTTCATGATGATCGGTTATGATTGGATTTTGTGCCGATTTTCTCACGAAATGATTTTATGAATAGAAATTTATTTTTTAGAAAATAAACTTAACATCGCGTTATCCGAAACTGTGGCAAAATGTTATCATGAAAATATTACAAAACGTCGCATTAATTTGGTATTTATCGTTACATTAAAGACGTGATTCAATTTTGAGGTAACATTTGTGTGTTAAACTAATTGGTACGTATTATGTAACATATATGGAATATCGATCCAATAATGGTATAACCGTGTTAAGACTGTGATAGCTAATTGAACTTCTGGTGTAAAAGGGACAGATAGAGAGAAAGAGCTAAAGAGAGAGAGAGAGAGAGAGAGAGAGAGAGAGAGAGAGAGAGAGAGAGAGAGAGAGAGAG